GAATGACGAGAAGCTGCATTTGCTGATTTCCGCCTTCCGCCTATTTCTGGGTACGCGTTTTCACTCATTTAAGGATGCCTTTTTGGGATTTGATCGAGACAAGGATGGAGTTATAAGTGTTACGGAGTTTGTCGGACACCTGCAGGATCTGCAGATCACGGAGCGACGTATGGACGGAGAGGCGCTTTTTAATCATATTGCATCATGTTCAGAGACAGGCTACCTGACAATGGAGGATTTTGTGCGTTGGATGTCTGAGACGGCAACGGACAAGGGCCAGAAGAATTACGAGTCCATTGATGTAGATGAACGCGCGGTAATGAGGAAGGCGCTACTTCAGCTTTGCGAGCGGCTTGAGGCTCGGTGCCTGAACAGTTTGCAGATGTTTCGCCTCGCCTCAACGATGCCGCGGGCGTACACGGAGCGCCGGGCGGACATTTACTCCTTGGCAAACCCGCACCGCGACGCCCTTGTGACCCCAGTGCAGTTGCGCCGTTGCATTGAGGAGGTACTGGGCGGCAACCCTTCGCCGCGTGAGATGGATGCACTCTTGTCATTCTTTTTCCCACAATTACCGCTTGAGGAATACCGTAGCAGACGCGACGGAGATCTCGAACATGCCTTGGACCTTAAGGCATTTCAGAAAAAGTACCACGAGATGAATAAGTTGCTCATGCTGTCTGAACCGTCGAAACAGCAGCAGCAAACACAACAACGGCAACAGGAGTAGTAGCCACGGGTGGGATGTAAAGAGAGAATTGTATATACGCTCCTGCCCACATTTTTGGTTTTCTTTTTTTGGGAGGGCGGGTGGTACAATGAGTGAATCCGTTATCCACGCACTGTAGATGCGTGGGACGTGGGAGAAGTGCATCCCCGATGTAGAACCGCACCAGACAATTTTTTTTTTTCTGATGTACATGAGAAAGAAAAAAAAAGAAGAAAAGGGAAGAGACTATGAAATGAAATGGAATGTTGTTTACTTGTGACCTGCTGCGCCCTCTTGACTTCCATCTGCATTTTAACTACGAGAGAGATGTTCTTATTTTTTTTCTTTTTTTCTTTTCTTTTTGTCCTCTATTTTAAGAAGAGAGGGAAAAGAGAATAAACAAAACACACAAAAACAAAAACAAAAACAAAAACAAAAACAAAAACAAAAACAAAAACAAAACACACAAAAACAAAAACAAAACAAAACAAAACAACAACAACAAAAAAAAAAAACAAGCAAAAAGAAACAAGCGGATAGGGGAGGAGGTGTTTTTTTTCTTTTGTTTTCGGAGCCGACGTGAGCGGTGTGGGGGGGGAGGGGTAAAGCGGCTAGCGGCAGCTAACAGCAGGGACAACAACAGCAGGTATTTGGCCTAACACATAATTCCACATCTTCTTTAAGAGACATCGGAAAGAAAACAATGACTGAAGAAGAAACAGATATTTACTTGTCCCCCGCGGATTCGCACGTGGCGGTGCATGAACACCTGATGCGAATAGAGAGCGCATTTTACTACTCCCCTGGTGACGCCATGGCGGCCGTGCATCCTCTGCAAGGAACCGTATCCCCGCGCCGCGGCAAAGATCTTCCGCCTATGTGTATCGTTTCTGGAAACGGGAATCGCCCTCTTGCGGAGGCGGTAGCGATGTTGCTTGGGACCCCCACGCACCAAACATTGGTGAGGCAGCGTGCAAATGGTGAGGTGAATGTGCGTATTGACGAGAGTGTTCTTGGTGCCGATGTATACATCATTCAAAGCACGACAGGGAATGAAGTCATCGATGTGAATACAGCCGTCATGGAACTTCTTTTACTAATTCGAAAGATGCGTTTAAGTAATGCCAGGCGGGTTACTGCGGTGATTCCGTACTTTGCCTACTCACGTCAGGATAGCAAAAAGGG